CGACCAGAAAGTCATCCCGGATATTTGATCCAATGTGTTGGGCTACAAAAGGTTTTGATAACTTTTCTTCTGATTATTTTAAATTCCTTCAACTCTATGTTTAATTTTGTTGAAAAAACACATGACCTTCAACTGACTGAAATGGGCAGCTTTCGAAATATCTGAATCAAAATAAAAGCATGAAGTATAGTAAATACTCGAGTAAATATTTGTTCTCAGATGATTCGATTCTTCAATTCTCTTCAAAAATATATGAACAGAGATATAGTTGATTAATTCAGAAATGTAACAGCGATGCCGCCTCGGTTGCCGCTTATACCGAAACGTGAAAATAATCATCTTTTATATAAACTCGGTTATACCCTTGGTTATATCAAATGAAACATCCTGTGTATATAGATGATAGCATATCAGATTTGTAACTACTCGATTTTCGAGCTATTAATTATTTTCCATAGCACGATAATTATACCTACTCGTAATTATATGAGTAATTATAGCTCTAATTCAATGTTTGTTACGATTCGTTGCAGCCTGAATTTTTTTGCGTAGCACACCATACTCGACACCATAGTCCTGTGTATAATAGTCCTGTTTGTTCTGCATCATACGGAGTCGCTTAAAATACGTGATTTCACCCCTACAAACTAAATTAGTGAAAAGTAACTTCATTCAATATACAATATTATATTTATACAGGGTATATCTAAATAACACCGAAAAAATTCAAGGGGCGTTTCCTTTTTGATATTCTAGCAAATAAAGTTCATATAAACTTGTATCCTAATTGCACTAGAAGAATCTCCATATATTACTATCAACAAAACCACAATGTTTTATTGAAATTGATGAACAGACAATAATTGAGAAATAAATAGAAAAAAGATTTTTGATGGAAATATTAATACCCTGTATCTCGAAAACGAAGCAACACATGTTTATATGAACTTTATTTCCTAAAATATCACAAAGAATCACCCCTTGAATTTTTTCGGTGTTTTTTAGGTACACCCTGTATATCATGGAATATCCTGAACGACAATCGGAATTCTTTTCGAATTATATTCCCATTCCTGAAAATAATCCCGAGAATTGCCTCAGAAAATCCCAAGAACTTATATAATCTCCAAAAGTTAAAAAACATTCCAATACCCACCTCCTCTCCCTGGTACGGACGATTTTCTTCGAACAATATAGGGATTCCGTTTTGTGCGCTCCAAGCGATAAAATAAATCCGGATTGTTTTTAGCCTTAACCCATCCAGTAATGGTACGCCCCTGATTGAAATTTTTCAATCATGTGAGCTTGAATTTCATCAAAAGTTCATGCATGCGATAGATATATTTTCATAATTGTTTGATGAACGATTTTGGCAATATTGGCGTAGCTCAATAAGGAAGCATTTTTCAACAAAAAATATTTATAAACATTCTTCATCATAAAAGTACCTAAGGAATCACGAATTTTCCACCAATATTTTGGAAACATCCTGTATAGTTATTAGTTTTCAATTTCATTGGGTCATTTCCAAGACATGATATCCATCATAGGCACTTTGAGCAATCTTGTAAACAAAGTGTTTCGTGCTTGATCACAAAATGATTGCACTAATTATTCATCTCGCTTGTATCATCAATCAATAATTTATTGGTAAATTTAGGTCATAGTCGAAAATACCTTTATGTAGGAGTATCTAATTCTAACGAAATATCAATCAAATATCTGATCTCGATCGAGAAGTTATTGAACCGGGAATAATGAGTATGAATATAATTATCGGAACTGCTTTCAATTTGTTTCGGCATAAGTGATAATCGAAATGTCACAACATCATTCCGAAATAGGCATGTAGGTATTCGTCTGTGAAACACTAAAGGAACTTAATCACCATCTTTGGAATTCGGGGACGATTATGAGGTGTCCGAAAGATATACAGAGTGTGTAATAATACACGCTCGTCATTGGTAGTCACTGAAAGCACAGTTGAGAGAATATTCTCTCAACTGTGCTGAAAACTAAACTGCGTTAATCATCTAAAACTACTAGATATAATAGAATCTTACGGTTTAACCTCTTCGGTTCAGACGTATCATATTTGATACATCAGTTCAAACATTTTTTTCGTCGCTGCAATGATGGAATTCGATTCGGTACCGTCCGTATCATATTTGATAGGTATGTCTGCAATACGTGTTGCCTGCCTCTCGAAATCCGCGCGCGTTTCAGTATGTTCTAGGTAGGTTCAGTGTTGGTCGTTGATAACATTCTTGTACAGACATGTCTCT